TGGGAATTTGGTAGCAAAACTAAGATTAGAAGCAAGATCTTGACTCCCAGCCCTCTGACCTTTCCACCATCTCATGCTCTGTCTATGTTTATCTTAAAGCCTGCCCAGGAAAGATTCCACGTGTCTCCAGGTAACATGTTTAATATCTCACAATTAAAAGGGCTCAAATTTATGTTTAATAGAGACTCATGCCCCTGACCTCTTCCTCAGTCCTCAACGTCATCTTGTCTTAGTTCCTGTTCTTTTTCTGTTTGTTTTTGTTTTTGTTTTTTTTGTGAGGAAGATTAGCCCTAAGCTAACATCTGTTGCCAATCCTCCCCTTTATGCTGAGGAAGACTGGCCCTGGGCTAACACCCATGCCCACGTTCCTCTACTTTATAGGGGACGTCGCCACAGCATGGCCTGACAAGGGTGCGTCGGTGCGCACCCAGGATCTGAACCCGTGAACCCTGGGCTGCTGCAGCGGAGCACGCGAACGACCTCTATGTCACCGGGCAAGCCCTTCTTTTTCTGTTTTTTGGGATTTTTTTTGGTAATACACAATCACCGTTGAGTTTTAAGATTTCTTAATCAATAGTGGTTATTTTTTCGTTTCACTATAACTCATTCAATTGTATAAGAAAAATATCAAGAATCCAATGGAAAATTGGGCAAAGGCATAAAATAGCAATTTATGTAAAGGAAAAAAAAGAACATATTAACACATAGAATAAATAGACAGCCTTACTAGTGATGAAATAGATACAAATAACTGTTAAAGTAGTTATTTTTCCCCTCGGCCTAATGACTCCCAGTGCTGGTGAGGTTGTGGTGAAGTGATTCTCTGCTGATGGTGGTGTAAGCTGGGGCAACATTTGCAAAGCATTGTGGCGAGCACATCAGGAGAAATGGTCACATCATAGAAATGGTCACATCATAGAAATGGTCACAACCTCCAATCCTATACTTTCATTCCTGGAATTATCCAAAGAAACAATTGAGCAGGGAAAAAAAAAACCTAGATGCATAAAAATGTTCATTGCAGTGTTGTCTGTAATTTAAAAAAATTGTACAATAAAAATAAAAGAAACAATCTAAATATTCAACACTAAAGAACTGGGTGGACAAATGTTGGTATACTGACTGAGCATACAGTACTATGTAACCGTTTACAGTGATAATTCACAGGAGTGGGTGGTGATATGGAGATGTTTATGCTATGACAGGAGCTAAAGGAAGTAGGATACAAAATTGCATATTCTAGTGTACCTGTGAAAGTGTACTATGCATATCAACAAAGCTGAAAGCTCATGTACAAATATAGAAATGCTCTTCTAGTTTAGGGGGACTGTGGATAATTTCTTTCCTTTTTCAAAGTGTTCTGTAATGTTGATGTTACATTGTGTTTACTGTTTAAAAGATGAGGTAAGACAAATGGTACAGGGAGCCCAAGCTCTGGATTGACAGTTAAAGGACCTGAGTTTTCTTCTTTTTTCCCAGCATAACATGCCTTATTGGCCTTCATAAACCTCAATTTCTCAATCTACACAATGGGTTAACACTAGTTTCCTTTACCCCAGATTGATAGAATATTTACTTTATAAAGCTTTTAACTTACTGAATGCAAGACTGTTCATATAAATGTGGTCCTGGGAGAATGAGCGGCGGGAGGGAGAGGAAAAGATAAATAGGCACTAATTAATTTTAAAAGGAAAGATCATCCACTTTAATCGGAAATGCACATGTGCTGTGCCCCTAGTCAGAGTTTTAAGAGCACTCCGTGTTAGTTAGCAACTTCAATTTAAAGCACTGTGTGATCCTGTGGGCTTTGAAGATATGAAGCTTATCCACACACACACACACACGCACACACACACACGCACACACGCACTCAGATTACCGCGGAGTCACGAGGCGGCGTGCGCTCTGGATGATTAAGTGCACTAAGCAGCTCGGGCTGGTGGACGGATGATGTGTAAGAACAGCACAAAGACCACGTGACAAGGGAAAGTACAAGACATTTTGAAATGATGCTTTAGTTTCCAAGCTTTCTTTTCCACGTGGACTTTCTCTTTTAGCCATTATGGGCGAGTAAAGAGATTTGATTATCTCGTTTCCTGTGAAAGGTTATTTAGCTCCTCAATCCTATTAAGTCACTTTCTGCACTCCAGTGCACCGAGCCCTCACCAGGTGATCAGCCCAGGAAGAGTGAATGGAGACACCAGGATCAGATTGCTAAAGGAAGCAAAGTCACAGCTAAGTTTGAAAGGGGTGACAGCCAGCAGCCAGGAGCTTAGGAACTCAATTAGACTGAAAGACAACTATCTCATTATCTCGTTCCGAAATGATCTAAATACATAAGAATCCAAAAGTTTTAAATAAACTTGTCCTACTGACTGTCTAGATGACTGAATTTCCCTTCTCAAAAATTTTTTAAACGCCCTCTTGCGTATTTATTTATTCTAAGCGCAAAGCAGCTGCGATAATTATGCTGTCAGACTCAGGAAGCTAATGACAGTCAGGCGGATGGAAGGGTTTGCGTTTGTGAGGTTGCTGGGGAGAGCCACTCCGCTGCTTTTCCCTTCTTTCTTTTGTTCCCCCTTGTTTTCCTCTTCTGTTTCTTTGAGTTGGGAAGGAGAATTGAGCAGTCCACTGCCAAGTTGGAATCCCTTTGATGAACTCCCTTTGGTTGCTGTCCTGGCACCGTCCTGCCAGATAATGTTTCTCTTTCTCTCTCTTCTCTCCTTTCTTCTTCTTCCTCCTCTTTTTCTCTTCTCCAACTTCCCCCTTCTTCCTCTTCCTCTCTCTCCCTCAATCCCTCTCTTCCCCTCTCTCTCTCCCTTTTATTCCCTCTTTCCCTCTTCCCTCTCTCCCCCTCTTTCCCTCTCTCTCTCTCTCCCCCTCTTTCCCTCTCTCTCTCTCCCCCCCTCTTTCCCTCT